GACTTAAATGTAACTGACAGACACCAAAAATACTCTTTGGATGACACAAAAGGGTTTTATAATTACTAATAAATATCTTTTGGTCGTCTGCAATTCTCATTGTTTACATACGGGACATCATCACGCCCTGTTCGTGTGGCTGCAAAGGAGGACGAGATCAACTTAAGGTTCCAGGGGCCGGATTCTCAAAAGAGCCTTAATTTAAAGCGCGCTGGAGGCCTTAACTGTCCTGCTGTATTTCCCTTAAATAAGAGCGAAGATTTCGATTTCCCGCCCGCCGAAAAGCGCTAAAGGCTGCTCTCCCCCTACCTAAGGCATCCGAACTCGCACCAATATGGCGGGTCCCTTCCCTCCTCACTCCCAGGCCTTCGATTCTTTGCGTTTACGACTACGGTTTAGTCCCTAAGAGGCTTATTACAAGAAGATAAACGCTTCAAAGACGATTTAGAAGACTTGAAAGATGATAAAGATGCTTGGAGGATAATTTTAAATTAAATCGTCTCAATTAAGAGCTGAGAGGGATTGAGAAGCAAAATATTAATGTTTTTTCTCCTCCTCTCTCCCAGGTCTTCGGACTGTGTCGGATCGACGAAGAAATACGAATCTTGCAACATTGATGTAAGTTGCCAAATAGTTTTTTTATGTATTTATTCCTATATGAATTTCAATTTTTTCTTATTCTGTTTATTATTATTTAATTAATGATTTGTTATTTTTTCTTCTTTAATTTATTGTATATTTAATTTTTCATTTTCGTTTCATTTATTCATTTATTCAGATGTTTATCACTTATTTGTTTTTTATCATGTTTTTCTTAGTTTACGTTTTATTTACCATTTTTTAATTAATTAATTATAATTAATTGTATTATTTATTAATTTATTATTATTTATTATATTATTTATTTAGTTAATTTAATTAAATGATTAATAATTAATTTTTATTAATTAATTATTATTAATAATTTGATTAATTATTTAATTATTTATTTACATATTTAATTTTGTTTCGGTGAGAAATGTGAGTACTGTATCATACTTTTTTTTTTTTTTTTTTTTTTTAAGGTATTGGGTTTTTGAATCATTAACTTTTTCAATTATTTTATTCTTTTTCTATTTCCATTGTGAATTTAGTTTATTAATATTAGGGAGTCGACTGATATATATATATATATATATATATATATATATATATATATATATATATATATATTATATATATATGTATATATATGTATATATATATATATATATATACATATATATATATATATATATATATATATATATATATATATATATATATATGTATATATGTATATTATATACATATACATATAATATATAATAATATAATATATATATATATATATATATATATATATATATATATATATATGTATATATATATTATATATATATGTATATATATACATATACATATACATATATATATAATATATATATATATATATATATATATATATATATATATATATATATATTAGAGAGAAAGAGAGAGAGAGAGAGAGAGAGAGAGAGAGAGAGAGAGAGAGAGAGAGAGAGAGAGAGAGAGAGACAGCGAGAGAGAGAGAGACAGAGAGAGGAGAGAGACAGCGAGAGAGAGACAGCGAGAAGAGAGACGAAGAGAGAGAGAGAGAGAGAGACAGCGAGAGAGAGAGACAGCGAGAGAGAAGAGGCGAGAGAGAGAGAAGAGAGAGAGAGAAGAGCGAGAGAGAGAGACAGCGAAGAGAGAGGAGAGCGAGGAGAGAGACAGCGGAGAGAGAAGACAGCGAGAGAGAGAGAGAGAGAGAGACAGCGAGAGAGAGAGAGCGAGAGAGAGAGAGAGAGAGAGAGAGAGAGAGAGAGAGAGAGAAGAGAGAGAGAGAGAGCTGAAAGCATGAATGTATGTCTGTCTTCATGAGGATGCAGTACAGGTGTGGCTATGAATATGTTTGTTGATCTTTCTCTCTCCCCCTCCCGCTCTCTCTCTCTCTCTCTCTCTCTCTCTCTCTCTCTCTCTCTTCTCTCTCTCTCTCTCTCTCTCTCTCTCTCTCTCTCTCTCTCTCTCTCTCTCTCTCTCTCTCTCTCTCCTCTCTCTCTCTCTCTCTCTCTCTCTCTCTCTCTCCTCTCTCTCTCTCTCTGCCTCTCTCTCTGCCTCTCTCTCTGCCTCTCTCTCTGCCTCTCTCTCTGCCTCTCTCTCTGCCTCTCTCTCTGCCTCTCTCTCTCTCTCTCTCCTTTCTCTGCCTCTCGCTGTCTTTCTCTCTCTCTCTCTCCTTTCTCTGCTCTCGCTGTCTTGTCTCTCTCTCTCTCTCTCCTTTCTCTGCTCTCGCTGTCTTTCTCTCTCTCTCTCTACCTTTCTCTGCCTCCTCTCTCTCTCTCTCTCTCTCTCTCTCTCTCTCTCTCTCAGTCTTCTCTCTCTCTCTCATCTCTCTCTTCTCCTCAGTCTCTTCTGCTCTCATCTCTCTCTCTCTCTTTCTCTCATCATTCTCTCTCTCCGC